CTGGGTCTCTTGCAGCTAGATACAGCCATGTGACCAGCTCTGGTCCATGGGAGGAGAGTGGGAAGTTGTTAAATAAAGCTTCTGGGAAAGCTGCTTAAGAGAGAGACAGACAGGTGTTTTTTTAGATTTTTTTCCTGCTTCCTTCCTGGAATGCTGACCTGATGGCTGGAGCTTCAGCAGCCATCTTCAATGTTGAGAGGACCTTGAGAATGGAAGCCACCCACAAATGAAGGCAGAATCTTAGTTCCTGTCAACTATGGAGCCATCCTACCAGTCCTGGACTGCCAACCTGGAGGCTGCTTTTATGTGAGAAAGAAGTTACTTTGTAAAGCCACTGTTATGCTTGGACTGTGTTGCAAGCAGCCAGACATAATTCCTGTTTGATACAGTATATACTAAAAACAATAAAACCCAAGAAATTACAAGAATACACATTCAGTCAACAAACTGCCAAGCTGCAGAGGAGTATTAAAAGTCAAAGTCAGAGACCAGAGCGAATGGCTGCATGTCCTAGATGATGTGGGTCATGGACATTTGCTTCCAGGCTGTTTCTTAGACTTGCTGAAATGCAAAGTAGCTCTGACCCAAACCTACTCACTACGCTGAAAAGTCCAGGCTGACTTACTTTTAGAGGTACAGATAATATCCAAGTCATCAGAATTCAAGCAAGCAAGCCGTTATTGAGCTTCCTCTCTGCACCGTAGAGTAGCCACCCTGAGGAATGCGAAGCTGTGTGTGGCTCAGTCCCTGACGGCAGGTTGATACCAGAGCCGGAGCCCGCAGCGAGACTCGGGATGACCACCGCGGCGGGCACGCAGCGCAGCTTCTAGGCGTTTTGGGTGAGGCCCTGGATTCTCTTCTGTACTCTCACAGTTATCCTAGTGCATTACCTTGAAAAGGCTATTTTTAAACAAAAGATGCCATCATAACCTCGGAATGACAGTGTGTCACTTGATGGGCTACATGCTGAGAAATGTGTCAGGTGATTTCGTCATCGCACCAACACCATAGAGTTAAACAAACCTGGATGGGACGGCTGGTGACACACCTGCATGGCGTGTCACTGTGCTGATCACTGTCGGCAGCGGGAGCACAGCTGTAAGTATGTGTGCACCTGAACGTAGAAAAGGCAAGAAAAATGTGGTGCTCTAGTTGTGTGGAAGCGCTGTTGCGTGTGTGGTCTGTCATTGACGGAAATGTCGTCATATGGCACACGACTGTAGAGTAATGTTGAAATCCCACAGGCAGAACTTTATGGGAATCTTTAAATTAGACTGCCTTTGAAAACCTGTATTTAGAAAGTGGCGTATCATCTCGTAACATAGTATTTTCTGCTGAAACCGCGTTCTAGGAAGAGCAGAGGTCTCAGTGAACCAGTCAAGACCCTGGAGCAGCGTCCCCCCCAGCCCCCCTCCACTCACCGAGAGGTGTCAGCGGGAGAGGATGGTGCTGCCACCTAGCCCTTTTCTCCTAGAACTGCAGGCTTTGCCTCAGCAGCTGTCAGTCTGTGCAGGCAAAACGTGAAAAAGCTTTTCTAATACTGGCCTGCGAACTGTTTTTTTTTTTTCTTTTTTGAGACAGAGTCTCACTCTGTTGCCCGGGCTAGAGTGCTGTGGCATCAGCCTAGCTCACAGCAACCTCAAACTCCTGGGCTCAAGCAATACTCCTGCCTCAGCCTCCCGAGTAGCTGGGACTACAGGTGCACCACCATGCCCGGCTAATTTTTTGTATATATTTTTAGCTGTCCAATTAAACTTCTTGCTATTTTTGGTAGAGATGGGGTCTCACTCTTGCTCAGGCTGGGCTCAAACAATCCACCTGCCTCAGCCTCCCAGAGTGCTAGGATTACCAGCATGAGCCACTGTGCCCAGCCTCTGTGAACTATTAATAGTAGTGAACACCTCAGAATAGGGGAAAAAACCAACAATTGGAAACATTTATGGGAAGTAATGGCAAGTTACAAAAGAACAACTTCTTCCAGCTTCACGGAGCATGTTTATAAAGAATTTGGAGAGCTATTGGAGTTATGTTGTTTGTTTAGGCTCATTGTAATATAACTTTTGATTTTGGAGGGCTTGAAACTAAAAGATACCACCAAGGTAAGAATGAGAACTTCGGCATTGATAGACTTTCTATGTTCCCTCCTTTTTTCATACAGTTGTAAATCAGAAGTTCTTTTATCCCCTTTGAAATTGAGGCATGATTTACAGGGAAACGTACAGGTCTGAAGTAGTGAGGTGATGCTGAGGAGTTCATGCACCCATGCAACTATTAGGAAAAGAGAGTATTTCTAGCACCACAGAAAGTTCCCACATACACAGCTTCTCGTCGTTTTCATAATAGGCAGTGTGGTTGTTGTAGAAGTTCATATAAATGGAATCCTGTAGTATATATTCTTTTGTTTCAGGCTGCTTTTGCTCAACATAATGTTTTTGAGGTTGTGATGTTAGAGCAGCACAAAATGGAATAAAACACCCTAAGTCAATAATTTGTTTTCATTATCCATCATGTAAATATACCAATTTCCTTATTCTCCTACTGATGAGTATTTGGACTGTTTTCACTTTTTACCTGTTATGAATAAAGCGTCTATGAACACACAGTCATCTGGTGTTTCTAAGAGAATCACCACTGGCCACCATAAATCCTGGGCAACCATGTCTGGGGCCAGGGCAGGCTTTCATGGTGATCATCCGACCTGGAGTAGCCTTTCTCCCAGGTGTGTGAGCCACATCAAGTTTCCGCTGTCAAAACTATGCAAGAACGAGCTGACCTGACAGCTTTGTCTACGATGCCAGCTGGTCTTTAGACGGCTCAGCTGTTCCACTCTGTGTTTTTGCTCGACTCTCCCTACGTCCATCCTGTGCCCTGCTGTTTGTGCCAAGTATGTTCGAGTGTCTGCTCTGGGCCAGGTGCTTCTCCAGGCACCTGTCCTCCTGGGTTTACCTTCTAAGGGCCTAGGAGACAAGCCGTGATGGTGTGACAGTGACAGTGCTGTGAGGAGCAATAAGGAACACACAGGGACATATGCGCTGTCTCCAATGGGGTGGCCAGGGCGGGTCTTTGAAGGGCTGCCGTCCAGGCAGAGCCAGGCAGGTGCCCAGGGCATGGCACGAGCGGGCATGCCGAGTCCGCACAGGGCCCAGGGGGTCAGCGGGGCGAGAGCACGGGAGGGAGGGGGGACGCAGGCTAAGGGCCTGGAGCTGCTGAGGACTTTGGATTCAATAACCCCCAGAGGGGCGGGCTGGGTTGTTGCAGCCTCTGGCTCAGGAGACAGGCACAGGAGTGGGATGAGGAGGTCACGGGAGGCCATTGTGGGCAGGGCCGGGTTAGGGCTGGCCAAAGAGGTGGTGCGAGGTGGGCATTTTGGGAAAACATGCTGAGCCTGGGGTACGAGCAAGGGGAAGGGTGGGTGGGGCTGACTCTCTAGGCCTCTGGCTGGAGCAGCATGCTGCACGGGTGTGGTTACTGAGTCGAGAGGACTTGTGGGAATCGGGTTTGGGGCGCAGGAGGTACGCAAGGTGTGCTGGATATGTCGTGTGTGAGGTGGCACCTGGACCACCCAGAGGAGACCACGGCTGTGTGTTCTGGAGTTGGTAACATGGAGGTGACATTTAAAGTCATGTGAACAATGAGGTCACCTAGGAGTGTAAGCACAGAGACATGGCCCTGGCTTAGAGGCCAGGAAGTGAGGAGAGGCAGGAAGTGATTTGGCGTGTTGACAGGTGACTGAGCTTGAGCAAGATGGAGGTGTCGGTGACCTGACCCCAGGTCGCTGCAGCAGAGAGGACAAAGGTCCCACTGGAGGGCACTGTGGCCATCCCGCGCCCCCTGCTGTCAGAGTTTGTGTTAAGGAGCCTCTTTAGCCCACAGTGGGGGCCGGGGAAGGTGTCAGGACCAGCTCGAAGGAGACGTACAAGGACAGGCACACGTGTAATTGGGAGTGTTGAAATGAATGGGCAGTGGGGGCAAAGTGGGTTATCATGCTGTGGGCTGAATTGTGTCCCCACAAATTCATAGGTTGAACCCCTAAACCCATAGCCCCTCAGAATGTGACTCCAATTGGAGGTAGAGTCTTTAAAGAGGTGATTAAGTTAAAAATGAGGCTCTAATCCAGTCTGACTGGTGTCTTCCTAAGAGGAAATTTGGGTGCCTGGAGCGATGCCAGGCACTGGTGGCTGCACAGAGGAGGGACACTGAGGACGCAGCAGGAAGGCACATCTGCGTACCAAGGGACAGGCCTCCGGAAACACTGGCCCTGCCGACGCCTGGGTCTTAGACTTCCAGCCTCTGGAACTGCGAGGAATGAATTACAGATTGCCCCGTCTGGTGTTGTGTTGCTGCTGCCCAGCAAGCTGATGCAGACCGCACAGACAGAATTCACTTGCTCCTCCCCAGACGAGATCACGTGTGCACCATCATCAGGAGTTCTCATGGAGTCAGAATCGAGCCAAGGGAAAGTCTCTTTGCAGGGACTGTGCAGTTTTCCACGGCACCTCGGGGTGTGCCGCCCTGGGTCGCGCCATCTGGGGCCCTGCCACCCTGGGCTCTCAAGGGGGTGAAGCGAGGTGGGCTCCAGCCCTGGGGAGTCCTCGCAGGCTCTTGTCCCTGATGGTGGAGGAATGTGCAGGTCAGGTGGGAGCATGGCCAACTGCACTGGCTGCACTGGGGCACCAGGGCTTGGTGGCAGGGCGGCCCCCACCCTGTGCTCTGCTCTCCCAGTTCCTCTTTCCCTGTGCTCTGCCAGGCACGTGGTGTTTGCACCACAAGTCACAGCTACTCAAACATACCGGCAGTAGGGAGGGCAAGTCGCCCAGGGCTGCTGAGACCTGTTGCCCTGGCCCTGCCCTTCCCACTGCCCCAAGACCCAGGACAGCCCTCCCCACCCCCTGCCCCAGGCAGGTGCTCCCCCCCTGCAAGGTCCTGCCCCCTGCGCCCAGGTCCTGCCCAGCCCCTCTCCACCCTGCAGGCCCCGCCGCCGCCTCCCCCCAACCAACCCCGCGGACCCGCCCCCGCCCTCCTGGGCCGCCCTCGTGCACCAGCAGCCCCGGAGTCCCCCTGTCTCTGTAGTCTGGGCATGGCGCGCGCAGTGGAGCCTGAGCGGCGGCTGCTGGCCATTTACACAGGCGGCACCATCGGCATGCAGAGCGAGCGCGGCGGTGAGTGGGGACTGCCCCAGGCGGGGCTGACCTCAGACTTGGACTCGGACTCAGGGAGCCATGGGCGCCGCACCTGAAAGGCAGGTCCCCTCCTGCTCGGATGAGGCTCGCTGCAGGGCTCAGTGAGAAGCGGGTCTGGAAGTGGCTCAGCTGCCTGCCGGGCAGGGGTGGGGAGTCGTTCTCTCACTGTCTCTGCCCTTCTGAGGCTACCGCGCCCCCCACGGAGCCTGCTTGCCCACACCTGGGGAGAGGAGGAGAGGCTGTGGACTTCACCTGTCTGCTGCCCCATGGTCAGCACACAGGGGACTCTGGGTGCAGCCTGTCCCGTGCAGTAACTGCACCCTCGGGGTGGGGAGAGCCCCCAGAGCATGTGTCTGACCCGTTCCCTGGACAGACAAGCTGGTGGGAAGGTGTTGGGAGGCTGTGAGGACTCCTCCCTGGGGACCCCCAGAGAGTGGATGTCACCTCCGCCTGGCCCAGCAGTAGAGCGTCTACTTCCTGCACTTTTGGGGACAGGACGCAGGACATGGTCCCTCTGCTCGGCCCCACAGGCCTGGGGAGGGTGGCGTGGAAGGTGATGGCACCTGCCAAGGAGCTGGTCCTCAGAGGCCCAGTGTACGAATGTCACATGGTGTCGGGGCTCTCCCGGAGGGCTTCTCAGAGGACATGAAGCTAGCGGGAGAGTGGGCCTGGCCAGGAGCAGCAGTGTGAAGGGCAAGGGCGAGGAGGAGGGAGCCTGGTGGGGCTGGGGCCAAGAAGAGGGGTCTTTGAGAGCTTCCCCTGAGCTGGGACCAGCCCGGGGTCTCTGTCTGACTCTCCAATGCTGCCCCTCTGGGCTTGGTATGTGTCCGGCTGCAATTCCCTGGAGCTCGCACACAGCTCCTAGTGGTCCCAGATGCACTGTGGCCTCTGGCAAGTGGCCTCTGGCCACGGTCTTGCTGCAGGGGCATCGTGCCGCCTGCTCCGTGCTTGTGGCAGGGCGCTGTGGGCTCCCTCGCACTTGCGCACTGCGTGTCTGAAAGGGACACAGTCACGTGTCCGGAAGGTGAAAAGAGACTTTAACGCTAGAAAGTCGGGCTGGGGGGTGGATTTTGAGACGCAAAAAAGCCTTCGAAGACCCCTAGGGGCAGGGGCTGTGCTCCAGGTGCTGGAGTCTCCAGGCTCCCGAGGGACGGAGGGCACAGGCAGCGGCCGTGCCCCTTCCTTGCATCGCAAAGGGCAGCCAGCCTGTCTCTCTGCGAGGACCTGTCTGCTGAGCCCTGGAGGCGTGGCCTGGGCTGGGTGGGGGGAGCAGCTCCTTGAGCCCAGGCCCGCAAAAGACGCCACGGCATCACAGTGGTGCTACCCACCCTCTCCCCTGTGGCAAGGCTTGTGGGGCGTGGGGGCCAGAGGGTGAAGAGGGAAAGACATAAGATGTGGTAACTGCCGTCCCCTGGAAGAGTGGACAGCACATACAGAGCCGCGAGGGACCGGGTGCCAGGGCCACAAGAGGCCGGGGGTCCTCAGGCTGCTCTCCTCTGTGACTGGCGGTCAGCTGTCCTTCAGGGACATGCAGATTGTGACCCGGCACCTTGGCTTTTTTGCCTAAAAATGTGTGTGAGCTGAAAAGGCTTCCAGGAGCAAGGGCAGCTCTCCGGCCAAGGCCCCAGCCTACAGGCCCCAAGCCCCAGCCCTCTGGGCCCCCCTGCAGGCCCCCGCCCCGGAGCCCAGGCAGACACGGGCATCAATGATTAACGGCTCTGCTGACGTGGGCTCTGGCCCCCAGCGGCCTGCAGAGGGGAGTATGGCTTCGTGGGCAGCAAAGCTGTTTGGATTGTCGCTGTTGGGACAGTTTCTGCACCTGCTGGTAAACAGTGGCCTGCCGGGCAGAACACGCCCTGCCAAAGTTCGGGAGGGCAGGGGTGATGGCAGCAGGGACACACTTTGACCTGTCCCTTCTCCGAGTTCAGCAAAGATATTACAGGCCTAGGGGCTTCATGTATCCAAAAACGGCAGATAACCCCAAGGCCGAGCCCAAGCTGGTGTCCATGGCCGTGTTCCAGGCTGCTGAGGGGCCCAAAGGCCTCTCAGCCTTTGGGTCCCTTTGTGGGGTCAAACTGGGGCCCCCCACCTGCTTGCCACGCTGCCCAAAGTCCCTCATGAGCCCTGTTCCTTGCAGGCCAGCAGGAGGGCAGAGCCGTGGGCCGGGCAGCATCCCCAGCCATTCAGTTGCCGCTGCCCATGGCTTCTGCTCCCTGCGGCGCGGCGACGGTGCCCCGGCCTGGGCAGCCCTCTGTGCCTTCATGAGCCTGCATGTCCAAAGTTTGGCTTTGGTGGTTTGGGGGGAGCAAACTCTCCCCCCCAGGTGGGTGTGTTCGGTGGGAGCTGAGAAGTTCCAGCACCAGCAACTCATCCCCTGCCTGTCTGGGCCGGGGAAGGGGCCCGGACAGGGTGGAGGGCTCAGGTTTTGCAGGACCTGGATCTTTTGGGGGACCCTCATTAAGGAAAGTAATACAGTTTACAAAATCAGAGTCAGGTGTGAAAGCTGATATTTATTTAGAACGGTAAAGGATATCACAACTTTCTAAAAAGCCAAGAATAGAAAGAAATGCAGAAAAACAGTTGTGAGTTAATGGTCCTGATCCTCCTTCGTGGCCTGTGTCCCCGTGGTTCAGCTGCACAGTTGCCGCGTTCTTGCCACGTGACGATGGGTTTGCCACACTTTGCACGGAGAACAGGGTACCAGGAGGCTTAGTCGTTTCTGTGGCTGGCTTCCCTGTGCTGCCCACACACGTCCTGGGCAGGGACACCAGGATCCACGTCCTCCACCATGCCCTTCCCGCCACGCTGCCTCGTGGCTGTCCCTGGGAGCCATTGCCCCAAGGGGCCAGAGAGCAGCAGCATGGCTGTGGGCAGAGGTGGCCTTGCAGGACGTGAGCATGTCCCACGAAACCCAGACCCAGCGGACCCCACTTCCCCTCCCCCTAAGTGGATCCTCAAGTTTCCACAGGCCCCCCGGCTTCACCTGCCGTGGAGGAGCCCGAGAGCGGCCGGGTCGGTGTGACCGTCGTAACCACTGCCACAAACCAGGAGGCTCAAAAGCACAGGCATTTATTCTGGAGGCCAGCTCTGGAGGCCACAGTCCGATGGGGTCCGTTCCAGGGGCTGCACCAAGTGTCGCAGGCTGTGCTCGCTCCGGAGGCCCTGGGGAGACGCCTTTCCCTCTCCCACCCCCGGGGGCCCCTGGTGTCTGTCCCAGTGTCTCCGCCCTATCCCCACATGCCCTCGCCTCTGTGTCCCGTCACCCCCGTCCAACCCCCTCTCGCAAGGACACATGAGATGGCGCCATGGGCCCAGCTGCAAATCCAGGACCCCTCCATCTCAAGATCCTTAACATACCACATTTGCAAAGACCTTGTCATGTAAGGTGACACCCACAGGCCCTGGGGATTAGGACATGGACATCTTTTGGGGCTGGGACGCTCGGCCACCAACACTGGGTGGCCACTGAGGCTCCTGAATGCCCAGGGTCTGAAGTTTGGTGGTCGCTGCTCACGGGCTGGCAAACGCAGACCTCTGTGCAGGCCTGTGTCCTGGCCACGCTGTGGGCATCTGGGGAGGGCACAGGCCGACAGGCACGCACGGGCTCCCATGTCCCCATCTGCTGACAGAGCTCTGTCGTGTGGTGGCACTCGGCCAGCCTGCATCACCCAATCCTCCTGCAAATGTCCACAGTCCGCAATGTCGGGCGTCATACAAGGCTGGGGAGGGTGGGAAGGGGTTTGGAGCCAGGGTCGTGTTGGGGCAGGGATGCGGAGAACGGCCTGGCAGGCATGGCGGGTGGGACAGCAGAGCAGCGCTGTTTTAATTGGCCATGTGTGGCTAATTTGTTATGTGGCAGTGGGAAAAGGGCACAGCAGGCCTGGGTGGGGTGTTGCTGCTGAGGGTGGGGGAGGATGGCCCAGGAGGGCTTTGGGGCTGGTTGGGGGCTCTGGAGTGGCGGGCTAGGGGTCGGTGCTGAGCGGCTGACCTCAAGGAAATGAGTGGTGTGGTCAGATCTGTGGGCAGAGAACCGGCCCCTGGCCTAGTGTGGGTCCCACTCTGATGGCGGCAGGGAGACAGATGGAGGCAGACCTGGGGCCAGCAAGCCTGGCTCATGCATCCTTGTGGGGGAGGCCAGCACGCTCCAAAGCTTCTCCAGGGGAATGGGCCAGGCGTGGACCCACAGCTTCGTGTGTGCTCCCTTGGCTGGCCGGCTGCTTTCCCTGTTGCGAGTTACAGCATTTTACAAAGGACGAGAGAACACCAGGGCATGGGCACATGGGGCTTCTGAGATGCGGAGCTGCAGGCAGGTGGCAGAGCTGGTGGGGGTTGGGCACTTGCTGTGTGCTGGGCCCTCTGGTTCGGGGGTCTAGGGCCGAGGGGCCCTGGTGGAGTCACACACAGTCCATGCCCTCCAGGAGCTGAAGGGTCAGCAAATGGTGCATGTAGGAATGGCACTGTGGTCTAGGCATCTAGGAAGGCTTCCTGGAGGTGGTGTCCTGAGCTGGGCCTTGAAGCACCTGCTGGGTGAGAAGTGGGGTGGGGCAGAAGGACTTTCAGGCAGAGCCAGCGACTCATCTGTGGGCATAGTGGGAGGTGGAGGTAGAAGAGTGGGGGCACATGGCCGGCTTGTGAGACAAGGCGGGAGAGGGCAGGGCCTGTGAGCCTTGGTTGGGAGTGTGGGCTCATTTGGAGACAGGGTGTAACTAGAGGCAGGACCGGGGTGGAGGGCCAGACACCGGGCTGAGCTCCCGGGGCTCTCCGGGCATGAAACGAGGACTCAGTCTCGGCTCTAAGGCAGGAAGCCGTGGCTGCCGTGGCTTCCAAGTGTGGCCCAGCTGCCCAACCTCTCGGGCCCAGTGGTAGCTGCATCCCTAATCCTGGCCTCTGACTTTCATAAGGGGCAGAGCCCCCCCTCGGCCCCCGCCCCTATGCAGGGCCTGGCTGCCAGTGACTGCCCCTGACCACACACTCCCCTGGACTCTGCCTGCAGTGCTCGTCCCTGGGAGGGGTCTGGGTGCTGTCCTGAGGACGCTGCCCATGTTCCATGACGAGGAGCACGCCTGGGCCTGCGGCCTCTCCGAGGACACCTTGGTGCTGCCGTGAGTGTGGGCTCCTCTGGGGGCCCTGGGCAGTCGGGGGTGGGAACAGATCCTGAGCTGCACAGTCCCAGCTGGGCCATGCAGCTGCCTCCAGGCTCCGATTTCCCAGTGCTCCCTCGAGCCACTGGCAGGAGCCTGTCCCTAACGTCCTCTCACCTCCGCTGGGCTTTAGGGCTGGCCGGCAGCGTCTTCCACTGGAGCCTGAGCCTCGGAGGAAGGCAGGGCCTGCAGCTGCAACTGTGCCTCCTCCCGTGCCCCCCTAAGCTGCTTCAGCACGATGAGGGGCCCCCGTCTAGGGACTGTGCCCATCAGGAGCAGCTGGGCTGGCCCAGGTGTCCCCCTCCAGCGTAGAGGTCCCTCCACTTCTCAGCTCTAGGCCAGTTCGCCGCTGCCCCTCGCGGATGGAGGCTGCGCTCCCTGCAAGCCAGCGCCCTTCCAGCATCTTCTGCTGGCTCATCTCTGGCGGTCCCAGCCTCCCTCTCAGAGCTGGTGGTGACAGGGACGCTGCTCAGGAACAGCCCCTTCTGGCCCACATCCTCCACGCTCTTGGGGACCACAGCCCCTGGGCTTGGGGACTCCAGGTGGAAAGGAGGCTAGGCTCTGCGCTCAGAATTCCGGGAAATAGCCCATGTGCAGCCACTGGCGCACCTTAGCAGGTGCAGGGTCCTCCGCTGGGCCAGGGGGGAGCAGTGGTCAGGGGCTTCCGAGCAGGAAGGCAGAGTGGGAGCCCACCCTCTATCTCCTGCAGCTGCGCCAGCCCAGACCAGAGGGTCTTCTACACCGTGCTGGAGTGCCAGCCCCTCTTCGACTCCAGCGACATGACCATCAGCGAGTGGGTTCAGATTGCCCAGACCATAGAGGTGGGATTGTGCGGCGTGGGTGGGGCTGGGGCGGGGCTATGGGGCTGGGCGGGGTTCTGGCGGGGCTGTGGGACATGGGCAGGCCTGGGGCTGTGGAGCCGGGCTGTAAAGGAGGGCTGTGGCCGGTGGGTGGGGCTCTGCTGTTTGTGGGGGCGGGGCGGACGCAGCCCTGGGTCCTCGGGAGGTGCAGTAGGCCTGCCCCGCCTGAGAGCTGGGTCATGGAGCAGTGCAGCTTCAGGGCGGGCCAGGTCCCCGGGTCACCGCTGCTGGCCGAGTCTCTGAGCCCCTTGCCCGATGCAAGCGGGGGTGGACAGCGGGGCCATGTTTGGCATGCGGAACGGAAGCGCCAGGCGCGTTGGGTGGCTCTCCGGTCCAAGGAGTGCCGGGCGCACTGTGCAAGCTCCTTCGAACGCACACAGGCTGCGCGTGCCCGACCCTGGTCTGCTAACCCTTGCCCTCACCCAGTCCTAACCCAACCGTAACCCTAAACCTAACGTTCACCCTCACCCAACCCTAAACTTCATCTTCGGCAGCTGAGTCTCAGTGAACTTAGGGCCACGGGGTGTCTGGTGTGCTCGCTGAGGCGAACCCGCCCCAGTACAGCCCTACCCCTATCACAGCCCCGCCCCAGCACAGCCCTTCCCCTATCACAGCCCCGCCCAGCACAGCCCTTCCCCTGTCACAGCCCCGCCCCAGCACAGCCCTTCGCCTATCACAGCCCCACCCCAGCACGGCCCTTCCCCTGTCACAGCCCCACCCCAGCACAGCCCTTCCCCTGTCACAGCCCCGCCCCAGCACGGCCCTTCCCCTGTCACAGCCCCGCCCCAGCACAGCCCTTCCCCTATCACAGCCCCGCCCCAGCACGGCCCTTCCCCTGTCACAGACCCGCCCCAGCACAGCCCTTCCCCTATCACAGCCCCGCCCCAGCACGGCCCTTCCCCTGTCACAGCCCCGCCCCAGCACAGCCCTTCCCCTATCACAGCCCCGCCCCAGCACAGCCCTTCCCCTGTCACAGCCCCGCCCCAGCACAGCCCTTCCCCTGTCACAGCCCCGCCCCAGCACAGCCCTTCCCCTG